AAATGACGCAATATTTAAAAACGCCTCTAAACCAAAGAAATTAAAAGTAATTGCAGTTCAGTACAGTGTAAAATTTTTAAGTATAGTGTATTGGTGTTTGCAACGAAACATTATATAAATCATTTTTAAATTTTGATTTAAACTAATTTTTTTTTAAATTTTGTATATTATATATATATATATATATATATATATATATATATATATATATATATATATATATATATATATATATATATATATATATATATATATATATATATATACATATATATATATATATTATATATAAATATATATATACATATATATATATAATATAATATATATATATATATATATATATATATATATATATATATATATATATATATATATATATATATATATATATTATATTATATATATATATGTATATATATATTTATATATAATATATATATATATATATATATTGTATATATATATATATATATATATATATATATATATATATATATATATATATATATATATAATTAGACTGCTTAATTTTGATGTCATAAAAAAATTAAAAGAACCATGAAATCTTATCTGCTGCGCAAACCCATATTTTATTAGAAATTTTTTTTTTATTTTGTATTTGGACCACTTTTAGGGGTTGCTCAAGGCCCTCATATTTTAGACATTTAAACCCTTTTTTTAGTTTATTTTTGGCACGTTTGAGCAAGTTCTAAAACTCAACAAAAAAAAACAAATTTTTGTCTTTTAAGAGTTTCTACCTAGGTAAAGGAATCAAATAAAAATGCATGGTAATTTTATCTATTGGAAATATTGTATTTAAATCTGTTCACTAAATTTTTTTACGATTGTTACGCATTAGGGTAACTTTTCAGATATTTTTCAAGTTTTTTGAAAAAAGCACCACATATATGTTGCATAAAATGTCACTCATACAACAAACTTTTTATTAAATTATTATTATAAAAAATATTTTGTTATATTTATTCATTGTTTTTTTGTTTTACTTGGTATTCTTGCTTTTTCCTTCATACTTGCTTTTGCAATTGTTCAAGAATAAAGCAACATCTGTCTCTTCTCTTTACTTCTAGCAACATCTGTCTCTTCTCTTTACTTCTACCAAAACTACCTACTTCTTCTACCTACTTCTAGCAAAATCTATCTCTTCTCTTTACTTCTACCAAAATCTCTTCTCTTTACTTCTAGCAACATCAATGTTGTCCTTTATGAGCTTAACAGTTTTTATTTTTAATTCACCTTTTTATTTTAGGTGCATTTTTCAGGAAGTTCAAACGGTCTAATCACAGAGCACCACGGAAGAACATTTAGCAGAAAGTTCACGTCTCCTTCTTTACTGATGTAGTAAAACTTGCCTAAAACTGGCTTTAAAACACAATCTCTTGCATCTGACACAATCGCGCTACTACAGCGCCACAGCTGCAGTTTTTATAGAGGATTGATTTGCAGCAAGATGAAAAACAGTATCCTGAAATTATAGGTAGAAATGCTTGCAATTGCAGCATTTTGAGGCAGAGAAAAGAGGATTCACCCATTGACAGCCACTTTTACTTTGGGTTATGATAAGGAACAAAAGCCACGAACTTTTTGTGACCAGTTGAACTAAGCTTAACCGCCTCGATCCAATGAAATCTAAAATAACGAGAACCTCTATATTTGCTCTCATTTAGGCTAATGGATATTCGCTCACAGTTTTTAAGCAATTTTACCTTTTTTTCACATTTATTTATCAGCTAAGGCTTGCACAATAAGACAAGCATCCATAAACTATGTGTGTCGTTTAGTAGATTAAAAGTCTAATTATGCTCAAATCTGATTTTACTTCTTACTTGCTTAAACATTTTCATATCCTGGATGAAAGAAAAAAATTGTTAAATTCTTTATTTAGGAAAAATTACGCTTTATTAATTATCAAAATCATTATTTTTATACTGGAACCCTTGTATACTTTATTTACGCATTTCATATTTTTTAAACTGATACATACCTGACATGACGTAATAGAGGCTAATTCAGCTTTAAGAACCCAGTAGTTTAGAAGGCAATGATCAAAGTTGCCACTTCAGGTATACTCAACTACACATAGGTATGTATATAGGTATCTACGTATATTTTATATGTATTATGTAACAATTACAATAGAATCAAATAATCAGCAAATTCTATAGAACTTGCTAATTGCTACAAAACAAGAAAAAATTTTATCAAGAATAAATTGCTACAAATTAAATACATCATAAGTATTATCAAGTTAAAAAAGTTGAATTTCATGTGTTTATAGTAACAGAAGATGTGTATTGATTAACTTTACTTTGAAATTTATTTTGAAAATCTGGTTCTTTTGATTTTAATTATATTTTTTGACAAAGACGCGCTTGCCTCTCTTTCAAAATCAGCGAATCAGATTGCTCATATGTTTGTCTATTGAGAGCCTGTATAGGGTTTCAAAATATGCCAACCGGAGTTCAAATCCGGTCTCCAACCATAAAGCACCCATTGCACCAAGGCCTTCTAAAGTAGAAGGCCCGCTCATGTGGAGTATGATGTCACATTGATATTTGTCTTGTTTTAAAAAGATTTACTTTTATTATAAACTTTTGCAAGATAAATGTTTTATATTTCGTTCAATTTAAATTATCTGATTGCAAAAAAAAAAAAAAAAAAGTGAATAAAAATAATAATAATAGCTATTACATTTATTTTGAAAGTAACTTTTTATTTTTTTTTACAAGTTAGTTTTTTTTACATTAATTAAATTTTAAAAATCAATTTTAATATATCAAAAGTCACTAATAAATTCTTATTTTCTTATTACTAACGTAACTTTAGCAATATTCTTGAATAAAAATTTATGAAAGTTGCCAGCTTCCTTAATACTTTTGGAACTTTTTTTATACATTTTGAAGGTTATCAGCTCTTTTAAAAAGGGCTGATAACTTTCAAAAACAGTTATTTCAAAAAGACTTTTTTGCAATAATTGTATTTGGTAGTGTACATATGGAAAGTCATGCAATGTAAAGTATTGAAATATCACAATTGCATACACCATCATCTCAAGAAATTCTAAACACTTAATTGAAAAAGAAATTAGGATTTGTTTGTGCTTTGACATCAACAAATACTTGGATTGATATTTAGAAGATATCAAAGAAGAAAAAATTAAAAAGAATACTTGAGTTTTTTTTTTAATTTTTTAAACTTTTTAAACTTATTTTTAATTTTTTAAATTTTTTTAACAAACTTTTAGTTGCAACTAAAAACAGGATTCTGTTTTTAGCTGCAACAAAAGGTTTGTTTGCCATTTCAACCCTCCACGATCTAAATTAAATAGGTAATCATATGCTAAAGCAATACCAAACTCTGATGAATGTCCTGATATAAGCTCTTTTTTTAAAAACTCACAAAATTTTTTTTATGTATTGCTGTTCTTAAATCCGATTTTGAATGGCCTCCACGTTCTCCTGATTTGACAGCTCCAGACTTTTGGCTTTGGGGATATCTTAAAGACAAAGTGTATGCAAATAAGCCCCGAACTGTTCAAGATCTTAAGGCAAACATACAACAGGAAATTCTTTTCCTACAACCTCAGATGTTAAGAAGTGTCATGGAGAATAACTTAAAAAGAGCTCGACTTTGTGAAGACGAGAATGGAGGCTATTTAAGAGACATTACCTTTCGTAACTAAGTCAGAACTAACTTACAGACTCTAAACTTGGTAATAAAAAAAGAATTTACTTTACTCTCAGCTAACCACATTGCAAGAGAAAATGACGTCTGAAGAAGCTTTTGCATATTTCTTGGATAACAAACTGTCAAGAAGTGTAAATGAAAATACCTATAAAGTGCACCAGTGCGTAAGTGGGTTTCCCCACTCCCTTTGATGCGCCTATAAGTAAGTTAAACACACAAAAAAAAATTATTATATTAAGTTTCTGTTTTACTCAAATAAGGCTTAATAGCTACATAAATACAACGATTATATTTTCTGTCACCTATTTCAATGGAATGTTCCCACTGCGCAGTGGTGCGACGGACTTGCGTATATTTTATAAACGCATGTGTTATTAGCCAGCACTTTATATTATAAACTACGATTTTTTAAATTAATTATTTTAAACCACTGTCAAGCGTTTAGAAGGCTGTTATGCTCATGTGCATAACAGCCATCTAAACGCTTGACAGTGGGTTAAAATAATTTATTTGATAGGGTTGTTTGGCATGAGATCGAATTTTTTTTAGCGGGTTGATTATTTCGCAGATTTTTTCTTTTTTCACCTTATTGGCGTTAATCCACTTTTTTTGGAATTCTATTTATTTGAAGAAACTTATAAACCCACAAAAATTGGAGACCAAAAATTGCTTAGTAGGACGTTAACAAACGTTGCTCTCCGTACTATTTGCAAAAGTATTATTATATTTGCGAATAATATTTATTTGCAACAGTACTATTTGCAACTTTCACTCAGTAGACTTCAAATCTTTTTTATTCACTAATATTTACGAATGTTGCTCATGATAGTTTTTGTTCTTTTTTGTACATATTGTAATTCTCAACAAATATTGTTTCTATAAATAATTACATTTTAACAAATTTTGTTTCTATAAATAGTGATACCTACAAGCTATTGACTTTAATAATATATTGCCCTTAATTAATAACTAAATTTTATTTAATCTAAATTTAAAAAAATATAAAAGATTGATATCAATTATTTGATAGTCTTGTATTTTTTATCTTTATTTATTTATTAAACAAATTTATTATTGGCATATATTTGGACGATGTCAAATATATTTATATTTGTATACAAAATTTGTATATGTTCTATATTTGGTCCGTATCATTTGTACCAATAGTAACAATACTGGATTTCTGCATTTAGTGATCCGTGTTTTTAACAGATTTACATTAAATGGTGGTTCCAAAAATGTTCTCAAAAATGCATGCAGAAAGTTTAAGTTGTTTATGTTCAAATGAGTAATCTATGTGTAAAGAGATTATACGAAAAAATTAAAAAAAAAACTGTTTTTTCTCTGATAACTTTAACTTTTATAATTTTTTATGCTTCAAAACCTATTGAACAATTTTTACAACAAACAATTACTGTGAATCTTTTGGGAGAAAATTTTTCTGTTAACTATTGTACGCATTCAAACAACTTAAAAGAAAATAGAAAAATAAAAAATGAATTTTCTAAATTTTCCAAAGCCTGGAAATTTCTACATGAAATGGCGACAACTCCTTCCACAATATATAACCAATGCGATATGAGATGGCTTCAAAAAGATGCTATTCCTTGGTTTAACAAATATGGAAGAACAGATGTTGAAACTAGCTATATAAGTATTTGGGAGATTCAACCCGCAGGTCAATTTAGTAGAGTTGTACTTCAAACTCAATACCCAAATGGTTCTCATAAGCTATTTGGTGGTGATTTTTGGAGATGTTTTGTGAGAGGAAAAACATCTGTCCCTGTTGCAACAAAAGATTTTTTGAACGGGTCTTACGAGTTTCAGTTTTTGCTTATGGAAAGTGGAAATTACACATTAAGCTTATCACTAGAATACACATTGTGTGATGGGATAAAAGAGCCACCTTCTGATTGGTTTATTAAAGGTAATTGGTTTTAAAACTTTTAAAACGTTCCTTTAAAAAGTCTAATAGAATCTTATAAAATTTGGAATAAGGTTACTGGAATGTCATAAATAATAATTCACAACTATAGTAAGTAACAATTCACAAGTAAAGTAATTAATAATTCACAGCTAAATGTAGTTGCAAATTATTATTTACTGAAGTTGTGAATGGTAACTTGCTTATTGTAGATGTGAATTGCTACTTACTAAAATTATTACTTACTGAAGTTGTGAATAATTACTTACTGAAGTTGTGAATAATTACTTACTGTAGTTGTAAATTATTACTAGTTACTGTCGTCGTGAATTATTACTCACTTACTATAGTTGTGAACTATTTCCACGGGCTATTAGTCTCCGTTTTTCAACCAGTTAGTAGATTTTTATTTATTTTTAAATGGTTTAGTGCAAGCAGCAGTTTATGGTAGCAAGTAACAAGTATACGTAATAAACAAATAAATTAAACAAACAATGAAAGTTAAATCTCAACTATGTTAATTCTACAACTGTTTTAAAAGCAATGTGGTTGATTGTTTAAAAGTAATGTGGTTGATTTTTAGTTCACTGTTGCGAAAGTTTTACCTACCTATAAGGTGGAATTTTACCCACCTTGAAAGTGGAATTTTACCTACCTAGAAGGTGGAGTATTACCTACCTAGAAGGTGGAATTTTATCTACCTAGAAGGTGGAATTTTACCCACCAAGAAGGTGAAATTTTATCTCCCTAGATTGCAGAATGATATGACGGAATAGTGTCGCAAAATATTGATAGTCGCAAATTTGATTGTCGAAAATGTGAAAATAGAATAGTGTCGCAAGTTTTCGCATTATTGATTAATTTTGTTGAATAACAAAATAAGGAATAATTTAGTAAATGAATTTAATGAATAGTGTAAAAAAAAAAAATGTCGCGAAGAAGTTTAATGAATAGTGTCAAAAACAAAAAAAAAAAGGAATCGTATCGCAAATAGTAAAATTAAGTTTGTGTCGAAAACAAAAAAAAAGGTAGTGTCGCAAATGAACTTAATGAATAGTATCGAAAATAGAAAAAGGAATAATGTCGTAAAGGAGTTTAATGAGTCAAAAACAAAAAGTTAATAGCTATAAATGTTTGTTTAGATACCGTGTCTTATGTCATACTAAAATTGCCGGATGCCTGGAGCTTCAGTGCATACAACAACTATCTTACAGCCTACTGCCGCAAAGAAGAGCCGCTACATCGACCGAGTGTTTGGAATTGTGTAGCATCATTTTCTTTCATTATTCTTTGTTTTTTCTTTTCGTAAAAGCCGTACGCTATAAAGATAAGCAAAACGAGTAAGCATTTGTTTATCTATATACGCTATAGTATTTATATATATATATAAATATATATATATATATATATATATATATATATATATATATATATATATATATATATATATATATATATATATATATATATATATATATATATATATATATATATTTACATATATTCATATATTAACTATTTTCAACACTATTCTTTTATTTTACTATTTGTGACACTATTCCTTCTTTTTGTTTTCAACACTGTTCATTAAATTCATTTGCGACACTCTTCCTTTTTTCTTTGACATTAGGTTTTTTTAATATATTCGTCACTATTCCGAAGTTCATTTTTCGACACTATTCCTGTCACCCGGTGGACTTTTACCCACCTAGAAGGATACTTCATAACGATTCATTATTAGTAAATTTATAACCTTTTAATAACTTTTTTTATTTTAATTATTTTAATTATACAGATCCTCCATTAATTCAGGTAAACTATGACACTCACCCACCATTACTTGAGGTAAACTATGACACTCACCCACCATTACTTGAGGTAAACTATGACACTCACCCACCATTACTTGAGGTAAACTATGACACTCACCCACCATTACTTGAGGTAAACTATGACACTCACCCACCATTACTTGAGGTAAACTATGACACTCACCCACCATTACTTGAGGTAAACTATGACACTCACCAACCATTACTTGAGGTAAACTATGACACTCACCCACCATTACTTGAGGTAAACTATGACACTCACCCACCATTACTTGAGGTAAACTATGACACTCACCCACCATTACTTGAGGTAAACTATGACACTCACCCACCATTACTTGAGGTAAACTATGACACTCACCTACCATTACTTGAGGTAAACTATGACACTCACCCACCATTACTTGAGGTAAACTATGACACTCACCCACCATTACTTGAGGTAAACTATGACACTCACCCACCATTACTTGAGGTAAACTATGACACTCACCCACCATTACTTGAGGTAAACTATGACACTCACCCACCATTACTTGAGGTAAACTATGACACTCACCCACCATTACTTGAGGTAAACTATGACACTCACCCACCATTACTTGAGGTAAACTATGACACTCACCCACCATTACTTGAGGTAAATATTTAAAATCTCAGTAATTGGTATTATTTTTTATGCAAACATCTGAAGAAATCATTCTTAAATCATCATTTGGGATGAAAAACCGGAATAGTTATTGTTTGGAGGTTTTTTCTTTGTGGCGTTACTTTAGCTATTCATGTATTATATTATTTTTTTCATAGAAAAAGGTTAAGGAAACCTAGACTAAAAAAAATAAAACATTGTTAAAAGTTCCAAATTGATTTTTAATATATTTATATCTGCTTTTGTTAGGTCATGTTGGGTGGGCCAACGTACCCATTATTGGGGTAGGTTTACCTAAGGGTTGGGACAGGTTAGCTCTCATACAACTTATGACTAAGTTTCATGTGGGAAAAGGTTCATCAAATGTTAAATATATAAGTTTAAGTGTTACATATGTAAAATATGTTTATAAAGTAAAAAATATTAAATTTATATATGTAAGCTTAATTACTATGTAAATGAACCGAATCCAAATATAAATGTTATGTAAACTTACATGATATAAACTTGGATAAGTTTAATTATAGTTAAAATATATTTTACTAAACAAATTAATTTGCATAATAAAATTTAGGAAATGTCCAAGGCAAAGAACAAAAGCAAGGAATACTACTAAATGATATGCCATATATCAACAAACCTTTGTGGAATGGTACAACAATTAAATTTATGGTTCCTCCACCAAACCAGTGCATTGAAGGTTAGAAAAAAGTTTATTTGAAGTTTTATTTATCAACTTAAGTTGATAAATACAATCCAAAGTTATGCAATACAATCCAAAGCTTATGCAACTATAATCATAGCTAATTACCTTCGATTATAGTTGCATAAGCTTTGGATTGTATTGCATAACTTTGGATTGTATTGCATAATAAGACTTCTATTACATAACTTTAACAAACGTCAGATTATTTGGTTTAGTGTTGATTTGACACCATCAAATAACCTTTACATTGTGCGTGTTAGAGCCTTACTCAACTTGTTTTTATGTCAAACTATTTTATCATGGTATTTTAAAGCAAAAAAAGATGTAAAAAAATTAATGACACCTTGAAAACAATCGTTTAAAAAAAACGCATAAATTCATAAAGTCCATTGCTAAAATTCTTATACCTAAGCGATAAGGTTGTAAAACCAACATGATAATTTTAAATAGCAATTGTAAAAAAACACCATAAATCTTTTTAGTAAAAGTAAAAGAATAAATTTTTTTGACTTAAAAGTCTTGATAAAATTGATGAACTTAAAATCTTTGGTCAACATAGGACGCCGATCATCTTTTTTCAAAACTAAATTTGCTTCCGGTAAAAAGTTATGAGTGTATAAATAAATAATGAACTATGGAGTAGAATATTATACGCTAGGTAAATGGAACTTTAATAAATTAATGTTTGAGCAGTTACTGAATAAGGACCAGCAAAGTTGACTTTTTAGGACCCTAATTTAACTTATTGAAGAATTTGGATTTTTATACCGAATACAACTGATATCCATAATCGGACATAAAAATCACTTTTAACTGGAAGCAAAAATCTGACTTTTATATCGAATTTAATTGACGTCATGCATTTTGATTGATAATTCATAATATAACATACACATAACATAAACATTAGTTATGTCTAAAATATTATTAATAAAAATTTTCAAACTACTAATAAAAATTAAAAAAATTTAAATAAAAACATATGAGTCTAACACATGCTAACTATTGGGTTGTACTTATTTGCTTCAAAAACGATATCTTGTTATTCATTCTTCACACATTCTAAAACCAAATTTTTTAAATAAAAGATATTTTTTGAGGTGCCCCAATATCCTAGAGTATATATATATATATATATATATATATATATATATATATATATATATATATATATATATATATATATATATATATATATATATATATATATATATATATATATATATATATATAACAAGTTATAGCAATTTGTCAAAAGGTATTCGACTGCAGACAAAATTTTTTAGTTCTGGCCAAGGTTTAACATAATTAATTACTGGGTTTCAAAGTATCGGTTTGTTTCTACTTAATATCAATAAAATTGTTCCGTCAAAATTATAATTTGTGTAACTACAACATCTCTGCCACCAATTGATTGTAAATAAAAAATCATCTTATAATAAAATGTTCACATAAATCATGTATGCAATGTCTCCAATAATAGTGAGAAGATGTCATTTTGTTTAATTTCTGTAGTCACAAGTGAATTGCAGAATCATTTAGACCGTTAAATGTTTTCAACACAAAATATTCTTACACCATTTGAACATAAAAATGGCGGTATACTTTTTAAATTAAAGTTTTTACACTCTTTCCCATACTCTTTTTAACATTCTTTTAATACTCTTTTTATTCTTTAATGACGTAAGTAAGAAAGGACGAAAAATTAAATAGAAAGACTATGTAATAAAATATAAAAATATCTTTTTATACAATTATCTTGGACTTCGAAACCTGGATTAAAGTTATTTTAAAAATACCTAAAACGTGCCTCAAAATTCTTTCTTACCAAATTTGTTTCTTTGCGATCGGTCTTACGATCTTATCATAGGGCATTGCGGAAGAGTATTAAACTAGAAAAATTCACTCCTTCTTCATTAACGATATTGCATACAGGGCTCGAGCCGGCTTCAAACCCTTGACCTCTAGGTTCTGAGCCAGAACTCTAATCACTGCGCCGTGGCTGCACCAAAGTTGAGTTTTATATATTATTAAGTTTTTAAATAGAACAAGGAACCAAAAACGGCTAATTACCATCAAAAATCCGATAAATTGGTAAAATATCATCGTTTAAGTAATGACAGATAAAAAATTTTATAATCATCTAAGAAAAAAATAGCAATAATTTTTTTTTTCCTTTTTTGGTACAAAAAAGAAAAAGTACTCGTGCATCTTACTTGATTGCATCTCCCATTACATATACTATCACATAAACCATAAATCATATGTTGTGGGTATTCCCTTAAAGATTTCTTCCAATCAAAAGTGTAATTATTTTGGTCTATACTAATTCCCTATTTATTATCAAATTGTTTCCCAATATTTATAATTTTCTATATAATATATGTAAACACAAAAAACTAAAAGGTCTATTTGTGTTTAACTCTTGTTGAGCAGCAATGGCGCAGTGGTAACGCAAATGTCTGAGAAACTAAGCATCCGTGATTCGAACCACGGCGTGAGGCGTGAACCTTCTAAACGCTCTTCGCGGTGCTCTGAGATAAGATCCTAAGGATTTCTTGGACACCAAAAAAAAATTTATATATATATATATATATATATATGTATATATATATATATATATATATATATATATATATATATATATATATATATATATATATATATATATATATATATATATATATATATATATATATAGTTTATTCCTTACTTTTTATTATTATTATTATTTTTTTAATTTTCAGAAAAACGATCTTTTCTTCAAAAGCAATGTAATAAAAGAACAAGTTGTAAGTTTTTATGGCATGGATATGGGAGTTGGATAAACAAGACAACATGGATACCATATTGCGGTAATTAATTGTTATTTTTGTAAAAAAAAAAAAAGAGTAAAATATTTTTATTTAGAATTCTTTGTACCGTTAGAAAATTTGAAAGTACACTATCCGCGTTACAAGGAAGGAATTTTATGGATTTTTGGGGACTCCGTTTCATCACAGTTTTACCACAGTATAAAAAAAAACAGAATTTGTAAAAACATATTTCGAAACTGTTTGTACACTTATAACTGGATTTACAGTCTTGAAAATTACAATCTAACAATAAATAAATACATTAGACGTAACAATTCAATCGAAAAGACACTTTGGGACAACAACGACTTTCAAGTTAGCAAGGTAATTGATGAATTAAAGCAAGTATTATATCATCCTTCTATGGATGAAAAAAGTGTACTGTTATTAAACTATGGTCTACACTACACGGAAGCAACAAATTATACAAATTTTCAAAACTTAATTCGTGAAATAATAAAACTCGGTAAAACTGTTCGTTGCAAACTTGTCTGGCGTACATCTACTAGTTTGAACAGACATAAATATTCAATGCCTAATTTGCATTCAAGAAGATTCATGACATCACAGGTAATTTCAAGTTTTTTAATATAAAGTTTAAAAAAATTTTAAAAGATTATTGTTTATTGTAATTATTTTTTAGAGAATTCTCCTTTATAACGCTTTTGCAACAAAAGAGTTTTGTGCTGCGGGCTATGATATTCTTGATGTTTACCCAATTACAGATTCTTACCCCGAAGGGACTGGAAGCAAAATGTTTCCTCATGATCCTGTACATTATGAACAACACGTGATGAAGCCAGTTGAACAGCTGTTAGAACGAGTTTTTGGCTCAAAACAATAACACCAAAAATTCGATACTGTTTATTTATGCTTTTTTTCTTCACATTCAAACCTTTATTTAATTATTAGAAAATAATACCCTATTAACTATTACAATTTAGTTAAATGTAATAGTGATAAAAATTACATAATTTTTACAATTTATATATATTTTCATTATGCAAAGTTTTAAATCGGATATTCTTTCGCGGATGGTGTAACCAGGTTTCTGAATTTATACTCTTATAATAAAAAAATTATGCCATCAAATTTATACTTAATTTATACCATCAATGATCATACTATCATCCCCAACAATTTTTATAGAGTCATGACATTTTATTGTAAAATAAAATTTTTAGAAATAGCTTTAGCTTTTATCATAAAGTATTTGATTTGGTCTCTAAACAAATGCAAAAAAACAGCGCCAAAAACCTCGAGAAGAACATGATGACTGTTTGGTTGCTTCGCCTTTACAAGAACAGACTTGTTAACTAGTTTCATAATTTAAAAAATACTGGAGCAACTAATCAACTTTAATAATACAAAAGTACCCAGTTACATTTTTTAAAAGCAGACCCAGTTTAAAACCTTTCGCTTGTTATTTAATTTCCATCTGAAATATTTATTGCCAAGTAATGTTAAATGATATATAAAGTAGCTTTTATATATACAAACTCATAACCTGAACTAAGAGATTCTATTCATAATAAAAGTATAACTTAGACTAAAACATTTTTTTTGTAGATGTCTCAAGATAACAAAAACCTATCAAATAGAAATCAAACACTTTAAAAATTTCTTTTTAATAAACTGTAAGTCTTGAAAATAATTTCAGTATATATTTTGTAAGCAATAAAAGGAATGTAACATTTTTCAATTAGTAATTATACGAACATTTTTTACTTTATATACGCGCATAAGCTTCGCAGACACAACGACGATGTTGGCACCATATTTTTTCGTTTTGCCGGTGTCGTACAAATTTATTTCCCCCATAAATTTATTTCTGAGTCGCACGCCGATTGGTTAAAGAGGCCACCCGAAATAACTAAACAACGCCACACAAACTAAACAACAACACCCGTAAATTTTCTTCCTATCCTGATTAGAAGTGAGTTTAAATTTACACTAGGTTTTAATAAATAAATTAATAACTTTCATGCCAAGAATGATAAATTATTTTTATATTTTTTCTTAAGCAATGCCTAAAATCAATGCAAAATCTCAAGAGCTACGTCTCGAAGAGATAAGACAATGCGTTTTAGAAGGAAAGTATACAAATACTGTTTTGAACAGTGAAAAACGTGGGCTCAGAATAGCTGCAAGAAATTTTAAAGGAATAGGCAAGTGAATTTTAATTATTTGTAGTAGACCCGATCAAGACTAATACAAGTAATTTAGTAGTAAGGTTTTTATTATATTATCTAAAATATAATGGAACACAATATAAATATAATAACAATATTGCAATATCACAGTATCTAATAGTTTCCACTTAGCTTTAAATATTTTATTTTAAGTTTAGACTTTTAACATATGTTTAAACTAAGTTTTAAAATTTGGTTAAATTTTTAGATGGACGTTTGTACTATATTCGAGATGAATCTCTACGACTTGTTTTGTATAGTCAAGAAGAAAGAAAAAAGGTTCTTAAAGAATGTCATAATGATGCTGGTGGGGCACACCAGGGAATAGTAAGAACTCAAAATAAAATTAAAAATTTTTACTATTGGATGTCAATTACATCTGATGTTGAAGCATGGGTTAAGTACTATTTGCTTTTTACGAAGGCTATATGTTTATTTTCTTAATAATATAAAGATAATAAACATGTAACTATCATTATTAATATAAAATTTAAATGCAATATTGCAATAATAATATACACTATAAATTGTATTATTCTAATTAAATAATATATAGTCTATTATAGATAAAGACATGTAAACAATATCAATCATTTGAAAAAATAAAAACAATTGCACCACAACTACACCCAATTCAGGTTACAGAAAGATGGGCAGTTTTAGAAGTAGATCTAATTGGTCCATTACCGGAAACAGTGAATGGCAATAAATATGTTTTAACAATAACAGATTTGTTTACAAAATGGATTGTTGCTAGAGTATTGCCTGAAAAATCTGCTGCTGCTGTAGCTAATGCTTTAGTTAACACTTTTCATACTTATGGTCCACCAAAAAAGTAATTACAGATCAAGGAAGAGAATTTGTGAATGAGGTAAAGACTAAAAAAGTTTCTAAAACTTTTGTTTTCTTTGTGTTATTGAAAATTTATTTTATTAGTTTTTTTTATTATTTTTTATGTATAGCTTAACAATAAAATTTTTTTGCATGACGGATCCCTTCACTGGTTGTTGATTAGCACACTTGGTTGCAGCAATAGAGTCGTTAAAATTTATGACTCAATGAAGACAGAAATACCAACTTTGCATGTACAAAAACAAATTGCTTCAATTATATCATGTTCTAAAAAATACAGTTATGTGTCAATACCAATGTCAGCAACAAGTTGGAGGAATTGACTGTGGTTTGTTTGCAATGCGGTAGTGGTGTAGTGGTAGAGCGCTCGCTTCATAAACGAGTGGTTCCGAGTTCGATCCTCACCACGTCCCTGGTAGTACCGCGCTCAACTCGTTTCTTTGCGCAGCGGCCTTGTTCGTCAAGGTTCGTGTTTCGGAGTTATAGAGTTGAGAGAGGGTTATAGCCACAAAATAAGTAGCCTCCTCGTCTGTAGTGGCCTTCTCGGCCTTGAGGAGGTGAAGTATAATAAAAAAAAAAAAAAAAAATTGCATTTGCAGTAGATATTTGTATGGGATAAAATGTTGCATCTATTTCGTACAATCAATCTGCAATGCGCCAGCATTTACACAATTGCTTCAGAGCTAAGCATTTTACATCATTTCCGAGATCATATTCAGAAAGTACAGTTAATAAATGTGAAAGTTCTACGATTTTTAATGTTTGTTAATGTTCCTCTAATATTGAATTTGAAAAATTATTCAGTTTAATAGATGTGAAGCAGTCACAAACACATATTCAGATAAAGTTAATGCATGAAAATGTCTGTTGTGTATTATTTAATAGTTTACTTTTAGTATACCTTTGATTTATTTTAGTTGTTTTTATTTTAGTTCCAGTTTTCCTTTTTTTTGTTAGTTAAAGGAGTTATTTATGATAGGTTTTCTTAAAAGATTATGCTATTATTTTCTCTTTTTTTTATTTAGACATTCTAGTATATTTAATGAGAATCTACTATTTTATTTACTAGATTTTTGACTTGAATTGAAAAATTTAAGTCAAAATTTTTTTTACAGTTTATGCTTTAAACTTGAAACAATTTGTATTGAAGTTTAATTTAGTTACATTTTTGAAAAATTTGTTATGTTATTTTATCATGTCCTTTATTTTTTACATGAACCAATTTCAAAAAACTTCTTATGTTGTTTACGCTTTTCTTATCTTTTATTATGTGTATTTTAGCTGTTTGAATTAACTATGTGCAATACACCTCAAAAATTGTATTTTAACTAGTCCTCTAATGTTCATAATGGTAGTTTTTGATGCTATAAACGAGCTGATGAGTAAGATTTTTTTATTTGTTTTTATTTGTTTTTTCTAAATTTCTGATTCACATTTATGTCAAATATTTTACTGTCAGTTTCAGCTGGATTTCCTTCAGCTAGATCATCAAGTAGCTTCCTGATAATACTGCTGAAAAAAAAATGACATTAAAAGTCCCAGTTTTTTCTAATTTATATATATATATGTGTGTGTGCGTGTGTGTGTGTGTGTGTGTGTGTGTGTGTGTGTGTGTGTGTGTATTTAAATTAGTAAAAACACTTATCTAATTTTTAGATTTCTTCAACATAATGTTTCTCCATCAGTAGGTTCATCAGGATCATGGCTTCCTGATGAACCTACTGATGGAGAATACAATTTTAGCTACTAAATAAAAAGTTTAAATATGTGTGTAAATGTTGTTATTGTATGCTACAAAAAGAGTGCTTAATTTTCATAAAAAACAAAAATGTAATAAAATAGCTTCTTGAGGATCCTATAAATGGTGAGACTGTTCAAACCATTTTTTATTTATTATATATACTAGTATAAAATAAGAAAATATTTTATTAAATAATACAATATAATAATATCATGATATTTTTGAATATATCACTATATTATTATATTGTTATTGCAATAATAGTTGCAGTTATGCAATTAGTAACAAAAATATAAAGGAAAGAATCCAGAAATGAAGGGCTTTTTTTTTGTCAAAAACAATACTTGTACAGTTTAACAATACTTTTACGCCTAATAAACATTGGAAAGAATTTAGAATTGGAGATCTAACCTTAGGCAGCATTACAACTTAGATATAAGGTGCAAAGTCCTATGGCTTACCTTCTAGTTGGTGCACTTCGTTAAGTAAGTTAGACATTGTATGTCTAATTTACGAACAGAATAGCCAAGGCAAATTTCATATTTTATTATTAGTTATTTTACTAGAATCCATTCAATATATATATATATATATATATATATATATATATATATATATATATATATATATATATATATATATATATATATATATATATATATATATATATATATATATATATATATATATTATTATATACATATATATATATATATTATTATATATATATATATATATATATATATATATATATATAATTTATATAATAAACAAACACACATGTGTGTGTGTTTGTTTATTATTTAAATAATAAGTATATAATACTTTTTACAGTAGCTTTTATCAAACAAAAGATGCAAGTTCAGAGAATTCTAGTTCAGAGAAATAGTATATACAGAATTGCCAGAAAAAGTACAGTGCTAAACAAATTTCTCAAGAAATAAATCTAACTCTTAAAAATGACATCTCAAGACAGACAATAAATAGAAGATTAATTGATCGTAAACTATGCTTGTATACTGCTGCTAAAAAACCAATGCTTTAACGATCAGTTCGGCTCAAACAGCTTCAATTTTGCAAAAAAAGTTTTAAGATGAGTGATAATGATATTAAAAAAAATAGTATTTTGCGGTGAATCAAATAATACAAAACTTTAAAAGAGTTATATGATGGTTTAACCTTTGAATATTGCCGAAATCTTTTTGAATCTAATAAAA